TGCCCCTCTCAAAAATGGTTGCTCTTATCACTGTTTTATTGCAACTCGTTTCTCTAAAGTACTGTCTGGTTGTCGCCTACTACTTTTCACGATCTTTTGCGAGACTTTTTGCCAACAGCTTTCACTCCTCATCATGTTCGCAGTGAACTAGAATCAGTCTTTTCGTATCTATCAGTTCGCATGAAGCAACAGAAATCCACAGGCTACTGTTAAACTCTAATTTCAGCTTATCTGAAACCTCTGCCATTGTTTCTACAGCTGATTAGATATTATACCAGGCAATCACAGGATTAGAATATCAATCCCACACAGCTACAGTGAGATTAGTCTATCCAGCTTGACGGCCTTCAATTCACTTTTGACAAATGGACAGCATTGCAATGAGTCCAGTAGGACTATTATTGACTGATGCGTTTGTCATACATTGAAAATCTGTCTGGTGACTTTACCGTTAAGGTGTTTTCTATAAGAGATGACATCATCGTTATATGTCGATAAGTATGACAATGAAATCAGCCAGCTGGATACCATTAACTCGGTGAAAAAATCTATCAGCCTGACAAGTGTGGAAGAAATTTGCAATCAACCACATTTCTAGACCTATTTTTGAGTTGGAAAGAGGATGTTTCAACAAAGCGGATGAGTTACAATTTTGATTATTCATCACATTTTGATGACGCAAACAGTAACTCTAACTAATTTTTATTTTTGTTTGACAATCCTTATGTACATACACACAATAATTATTTATAAATGCGATTGTACAGCTAAGTGAATGAATTCGCCGGAAACAGACTCTTCGCTGAACTTTGTTGATTTACAAAAAGCCTACTTAGGCGAGGTTGTATTTGAATTTTCACAGCTACTGTCCATCGCAATACAAAAGAGATCTGGATAAATGCTTGCTTAAGAGAATTCAGCGTATCTGTAAGCCTAATGTATTGGATGATGACAATGAAGTCCTGATTAATACACTTGTCGGAAAAAGATATCCTCTGAAGTCTTTGAACCAGTGTAGAAGACAGTTAAATTGAAAGCTTAAAGGTTACTCTGTTCCTTACAATGGAGAAATAAACAGTAGGATTTTAAGACAGACACTAAGTTCCGTCACTCGTAAATCTTACTATGTTGCTAGGTTATAATTACCGAAAAAGTCAAAAACATGCTCTACCACAAATCTCAACATTGCACGAGTGTTCACATTACATCCAATATAAATCACAAATTTACATGTGTATCTATGGTCACATATATAGGAAGGAGTGGCTTGAAAAACGAATGAACTCCGAAACCTTGATAAACACAAGAGTTGAACTACCAGCTTCGCTCATGGATATAAATCATGAGTCTAATTAAAAGGGCTTTCAAGATTCTGCCAGGGAAGCATTTTGAAATACGCTCTGAAGATGGACATCCGTAAAATTAAGTTTCGTTCCCATGAGTAAAATACAACTGGCCGCTACCCTTGACCTACCTTAGTAGTCATTATCTGATTATGTTATTTAGAGTAGTTTTAATCATTGGCCTCCTAACTCCTAAATACCTTATTATTCAGTCTATTTTAGTTTGTCATATAGACTGATTTGACAAGTAAATATGTGCTCGTCGTCGTCTGAAATAAATCGGATAAACTCCATCACTTAATAACGCTATCCAATTTTTTATAATAATAATAGCTTTATTCCAAACAGTATTTGTGGTACAGGTATGGTATTTTCAGCTTGCATTACAATATTGCATCTAATTACCTCATAAATTTTGTAAGATTTAGAAAAAAATAAAATGCAACAACAAGAAAAAGAAAATAAGAGAAATAAAAGAAATGAAAAAGAACGGCATTGCATTCACATATTTAAACAATGCACCACATGATATGAAATATAAAATTAGTGTGTAATAGAAGATGTTAGCAACAATATAATAGTAACAAAGAAAGGAGAACAAAAGCTAATGGGAACCATTATTTAGAGTGCCGCAGTAAGGTGATCGTGTCATGCCTAACAGTTTTCTCATCACATAACAGCTGTGCCAGATAAGGTATTGTGGAGTTTTTATACTTGGTAGTCCTGGCATATAGCTTCCTATAGTTGCTTCTAGTTCTACCAGATGAAATACAAGGAGAAAGGTGCGTAAAGAGAGGGTGTTTGGGGTCAGACAATATAGAATTCGCTAGTTTCTTACATGACATTATGTGTCTATCCACAATAGTGTTAACCAGTTGGTTTAACGAAATCCCACTTCCCCTACTAACAGCTTTTAGTGCCCTACGCAGCGAAGCAAAGTCTTTCTTAAGTAGTCCAGGAAAGATTAATGGGGAGCAGTAAAGTGGGATGGTTAGAATACAAGAATTGACAAACTGAGAAGGCAAAGACTGCTTTATACCAGACTGCCTAAACTTCCTAACGTAGAACGTTAAGCGAAACATTTTTCTAGTAACTAGCAATATGTGAGAAGACCAGGAAAGATCGGAGGAAATACTCAGTCCAAGGTACTTGACCTTAGATTTAGTTTCAACCTCTATGCCGTCAATGATAGTGGGGCCTTATGAGCCAGCTAGTTGTTGTAGGTCACGTTTTCGTCTGAAAGTGAAATTTACTACCTGACATTTAGACTGATTCAGCTTAAGACCGTTTGAAGAGGACCACTGACTAATTTCCGAGAGAAAGTTATTTAATATGGAACAGTCTGACTGAGAGTTGACAGGCATGGAGACAGAGAGGTCATCAGCATACTTGACAAAAGTTGCTACATCAGAATGGGGCAAGTCATGTAAGAAAAAAGAAAACAGAAAAGGAGAAAGAACAGCACCTTGAGGAACACCAGCTAAAGTAAGTGAGGTAGTGGAGGACTTTCCATTGTAGACAGTGTACTGCTTCCTATCAGAAAAGTAGGAATACAACCACTTATTTATCCAGCTCTCACTCTGTGTTGCAGCAAGCTTACTTAACAAGGGAGACCTAGGTACAGAGTCAAATGCAGATGTGTAATCAAGGAAGGCACACCGAACATATTTGGCTCCTCTATCTAAACTAGAGACTATATTATGATATAGAACAACAGCGGCATCTAAGGTACACCTACTATGTTTATAGGCAAACTGGTTGGGGTCATCAAAAGGCTTTAAAGAGGGTTCAAGATTAAGTAAAATAAGTCTTTCCATAACTTTTAAAAAAGGTGAGGTAATAGCAATCGGTCGAAACTTAACAGTAGGTCCACTTGTTGATTTAGGCACTGGAACAACCTTGATATTCGTCAAAGCGACTAAATGTTATACATATATCAAAATCCTACAAACGTCACTCGTGAATAACAACTTCAACAGTTTCACTATCGCTATAATTTAATGCTGGAAACTTTCAAAATAACTGAATAAAGGTGTGTGTGAATCTATCGCACTAATGCTCCATAAACCGTACACTTATAATTAAACATTTATTATCAGTGCTGATTCTGATCATCACTATCCAAAAATATTCACAAATCAATAGGTGCTGTAACATAAGGACGACTGTAATCTTTATGAGCGACGAGGAAGTTGGTTACGAAGTGTTCAAGAAGGTCGATATATATATATATATATATATATATATATATATATATACGACGTTAAGGACTGTATGGTTTGCCAAAATATGATTGTGGTAAATACACAGAGAATCGTATACACATGGAAGTAATTTTGTGCAACATTCATCAAATATCCCATGAATTTCAACTGGTTTGTCGTTTTTAACAAATAAAACCCACTGATGTGATTCGCTACCTTAGATCACTCCACCTCAGAATTCGAAATCTCATGTTTTTGATAATAACAATGATAATAATCACTCAATTCTAAAAGTGACTCAAATGAAATTTTCGTATTGCAAGAAACCTTCCCTTTCTATAAATAAAGCTACAACAACCACGTATTTTAAAACTGTTAGGAACTGTAATTCAGGCGATAATAACGCGCGAAAGATTGCTATAATAAAGTAGGTGTTTATTTACAGATTATATAGTAGATTTGTTAGTTCTTTTGTGTTTGGTTGAGTCATTGTGTGGTGAGAGCTGTCTACTAGCCAAATTGGTAGACAGTAATTGACGTCAATGTTTACGTTCTCAAGATTGGTCGTGAGGAAATATGAACAAGACTGATTCAAAAACCAACCACAGCAGACTTTGCGTAGGCGGATGCAGTTAACATATAGAAGATTTGGCATTCAAGAAACAGTCACAAAGAGATGAAAGATTAACTTTCTGTGAGAAACAGCCAATCAGAAGACTGTGTTTATTTGCTTAACTAATCTATAATAATGTACATGAAAATATATAAATATCCTTTGATTTCCTTAATAAAAGATCTGTTACCTGGCTCTTGTCTTCTGTTGTTACAATTGTCACATTCTAACGTTACAGAAAAACCCTATAAAACACAAACTGTATTCTTGGGTAGACGACTAGAGAAGAGATTGAAAACAATGTATTTTGTATGCATGTGTATACTTACTCAGAAGGTAAGCGATACATTTAAAAATTGCTTTATCATATTAGTAATAATGATAACAATAATTATAGCAATAATAATAATAATGATAATAATAGTAATAATAATAATAATTAGGTAGCATCAGCAGCTAAATTTTGCTGTTGTTTTTGGTCCTTCTGTCGACGTGCAGTTAAACAACCACCAGAGAGTGATGTGATTATAGGTGTTTCTTTATAATTATTAAATATCTGCATATCTGTATGCAGTGAGTAGTTAGCGTTTGATGAACAAGAAGACGATGAAGACGAGGAAGAACAGGTTTCAGATGGCAGTAAACAAGAAGATGACAGGTTAGTATTAAAATTTGCAGTTGAAGAGCATCCATGGTTAGTGTTACCTCGAAAAAGAATCTGATGATGATTTTGCTTAGTTTTATAATGGTAAGTTGCCAGGGTCAGAACTTTTAGAGTAGTGATAGCCTGTCAGGTTGGTGAATGAAGCTATTGGTGGCGTAGGTGACGTTACACAAAATCTAGGATTTTTGTGACGAACCATTATTATTATTATGATCATACTTTTCCGAAGTGGGGTGAATAAACATGTTCTCAAGTGTGTTCGTAGAAGTGCCAGAAAACATATCGGAATTGCCTGATAGCATTGATGAAATCTAAATATTCAAAGTAGAGAAAAAGTAGTTTATTGTCAGTATTACGACTGCAACACTGACAAAGTTAACAGTTAACTTACCCCTTCATAAAAACTTAAAACATCAGCCAGAATGAATTCAAAACCTACATACGTGAGATGGAAATTGGTGAGCAAATCATAATACGAGTAAAACTTTTTCCTGACTGACCATTGTACTACAACACATATCAATAATAATTAGGCAAACCATAATTATTCTAAAGCTGCTGTTATAAAGGCAACATATTTCTTGATAAATTTTTTCTTCATACATAAAGTCCTAGTAAAATCTTGCTGCTGAAAGAGAAAGATGCAGAAGCATCGGTTGACTATGACACCAATATTACTGACAAACGCAATAAGAGCTCGCCGACCATGCACATGGTCCGGGGTTCGATCCCCGGCCGGCGCACTCCTTTACCTCGCTGAACCAGTAATAAGACTGGTAAAGAGGAAAGTTTGGGCATGAGGCTAGCAACCCCATTCTGTAAAAATAAACACTGCTACAGAAACTTCAAGCCTCTAGCTTGAAGCCCTATGTTCCACCAGGAACGTGCAGGAATAAAAAAAATATTGTCAGAAACAAATTAGAACAGTCATAGATTCATTGTAGAAAGATGTTTTCTGCACTTTCTGCTTGACACCACAAAGAACCACAATGAAAACTGAATCGAAAATTAATTTAACGGAATCGTTTCAGGCAAATAAGTTAGCATGGGTTTTTAAAAGTTTCAAAATATAGTGTATCATCACAAAGAATATTATCGTAGATAGATGTGCAGATAATACAACGAAGAAACCTAGGATTGTGTTAATCTACACCACTTTAACTGCTTTAATAACCAAAACATGTCAACTCAATGTTTTGCGAGAACTATGGAATGTTTTCCTTACATACCCTTAAAATATGTGATACGGAAACAAATCAAACTTATACAACGATTTCCCATTTACATATACAAACAACTGAAGAAACAAACTATTTCTTGGTGTGAAACGAATGAAGGCGATAAGAAAATCAAAGAATTTTTTATCTCAAGCATTTACCTGTTGTTTATTATAGTTAAAATCTTTATCTCCTGTCGGGAAATAATCAGCATACAAATTACACGGCGACTGAGTTGTTGCTGCTGCTGATGTCGCAGTGTATCCACCAAGACTGACAGAATCGCATGTTTTAGTAGACTTTGGTAAACACTCAAGTTGTTCTATTTTCACCGTAAGCTCAAGAATTTGTAAGTCACGCTGTTTAAGCGTTTCTACAAACAAAAAAGAGGAAATAGAAACAGACTCTACACTTCAGCAAAATGAGATACAACTTAAAATTCCCTTAAACGAACGCGAATGACAAGCGTGTAAGATTCTTCTTACAACAGTTGTGTTAAGAGAATTTTCCAAAAAGAAAGCATATATACAATATTAAAAAACATTGAGAAAAACTGAGTCGAAGAACTTGAGGGATAAGTAAAATTCAATAAAGTTAGCTAGTATATATTACTGCACCTATATTTATAAGATTCTTCCACAACTGACAATTTTGAAACAACTAAAACAACTATGATATCGAAACACTAAGCTGATAACTAATGAGTTATGCTGTTCAACTGCAGATTATTGGTTAAGGTAGTCAGTTATAACACATGATGTGCTATTTCCAAATTTGTCTGTTGTGTAGGTAAAAGCCTTTGAATGCAATTAGAACATTTATAAACCACCCTGAATATATTCTTCATTTTCTATGGCCGGTATACTCTGACGAGATATTACGCATTAAGAGTGAATTTTCAGATGTCATTTTTAATGGTGAATCTTAATTGCCTTATTGCTTATCACCTATAGCAATCTGAATTAGCGTATTGCCGGACTACTACAAATTGACTTTAACAGGTGACAAACAGAAAAATGTTTTCCGCAAAGCAAACTATCTCGACTTCTTAATATACGAACGCCACTTTGTAACTTCTCAGAGGTATTTCTTTTAACCGATGGGTTTCAAATAGCTGATCTATGACCAAAAATAAGCAATTTATGGTTATTTACTTATTTTTTCGGCTCCTAGAGAAGAAATCGGAGGCGAATGGGACACGCATTGAGTAACATCATGCACCCGTTTCTTGGATAGAACGCAAATAAGAAACGACAACTTGGCATCTGGGGATGATATAGAAGAAGTTGTATGAGGAGATGAGAGCTTATGGCCAATTGTCGAGCCAACTAAAAAGGACTAAGTGGAGATGTGATGCTAAGGCACTGTATTTCACTCAGAACTTAATAATAATAATAATAATAATAATAATAATAAATAGTAATACAGAATATCTAAAATAGCTTTCAAGTGTGTTCATTACATGATATGTTTTAGTGAACAAGTTTTGTTGGATAATATTTCTATTACAGAAAAGGTGGATGTATCAACAGCTTTTGATGTCTAACACCAGATGTATACTATGACGCACTTAGAGGATAGACATTCGGATAATCGCATGACAGCTTCCTAAGATTGACTCCGAATAGTACCGATCACAGTGGTGAAACAAGGTCTAATAGCCGATAAGTCTTGGAAAGGAATAAGCTGCTGTTGCTGCATACGTTAGGCTTGGTAAGTGTTCAATCCCGAAAATAGAATATTGTACAGTTGGATTCTCCGTAGAATGCTAAGAACCAATTTTCGGAAACTTGTAGAAATAGTTCGAAATCGCGTGCAATAGCGCAGATATATTTACGCGTCATCGTCTTTCAGATTTCGAAGTTCCTCACTAGTCTTTATTTAATTATTCGCCCTTCCGTACGTATCATCTTTCGTAGCTTCATTCTTTTCTTTGCTTCCATATGTACCTTTCCAATTTGTGGCAACCTAAAGTGATAAGCTCTGTTCTTTGTCTATAATTCATTTTAGTTCCACATGAATAATCCCTGAATCACAATAACGATTAATTGATGTCAAGTATTCAATTGACTGAGAAAAGTTAACACTTTGGTTCGTAGTCAAATGTAGCTGTCTAAAATTGTCCAAACATAACCCTATTTCTCTAGGAAATCTACGATGAAGCTGTTACTTATAAGGCATCACCTAGATTTGCCATAATTCGTGCGATACCTACCAATACTGTATCCATCACTTTCTGAAAAATGCCTACGATGGTTTTGGTGTCGAAAAGAGGACGGTTAACGGATATCAATATTATTTCCTGAAATGCGAGTACGACTTTGACTGATACATTACTCAGCAAAAGCTCAATTTTTTGAGGAATTTTTCCCTATTGAGAGTTATAAATAAGCACTCCGATGCAGAATGAGAATAATAGTATTAATCTGAAGTACCAGTTAAAAAACATGAAATTAGCAAATTTACTTTAACGGTTACTTGAAATGAATGTTGTGTTGAGGGTTTACACTAACACAGTGTATGAATAAGAGCAAAAGAGAATGGCAATTGATCATAAATAATGAGCAGAATAGGTCTAAAGTAGAAGTACGAGGAGAATGTATGGAGACAAATCAGATGAGAACTAATGTATTATGGGGCATGCTAGATTGGAAAATATTTACTTGACAGATTAATTCCTGTTATCTTATGGTTTGAATATTTCCTAAGAATACAGAAACGATATGTTTTAAATGGGATTCAAACGCCCAAAAGGGAAGCCATTACAAATTAATTGTTTCTCACTTTTATACATAGATGATGACCGACATATATGCATTGTGAAACACAACGTTGAAATAATTCGTATATATATATATATATATACACACCACTGAGAGCTGCCATATATCAGATTGTGAAAAGCACAAAAGAAGAAAGCTTGCAAGGAATATTTTTATGTTCACTATCATTCGAAAAATTCTGAAGAATGCAATAACTTTTAGTAACGACTAGCTTCAGTCTACGAGCAGTGGGGATAATGAAATAGTTCAAAGCAAAGGAAATTCTACAATCTCCGATTGTCATGATGTAATATAGGAATTAGGAATCCATATATATATATATATATATATATATATATATATATATATATATATATATATATATATATGAGAAAACGCACACAAATCAAAAATAAAGTGTTATTGATGCAGTAGTTACCTGTAAACAATTAGGAATGTAAAAACTTAACATTCCAAATGTACTGCATAGAAAATAGAAAGTGAAAAGTAACGTCACAATAATAAACCCAATCGTAGCTTTTATGCAGTGAAACATGTAATGCGTCGAACTCAACAAACGGAACACTTGAAATTTTTAATCCCAATGGAAAAAGGTGAATTTTAAAAAGAACGATAGTTGAGTAGGGTGTTCGTGAATAGATGCAACATGGGCTGCTATGCAGGTCGGATAATAACAATCTAATAGCATAATAGATCGCATAAAATCACGAGATTCAATCCTGATAGAGACTGCCATCCAGTGAACCACACACAAACAAACTGGCCGCGTCCCTGAAATCTCGATCTTATTTAGCAAAAATAGTAATCCTTATAATCCAATTTAACGGACTAATCTTTTTTGATGCAGTTGTGTTCTCTGAGCTGGATGGTTCACTTGTGAGACTTTCATTGTTCTGCTAGGCAACACCTTCAGCGCATAATTCAATATGAAGTGAGCGTTTAGAATTCTCTATGAGCTTATTAGTCACACAAAGAAAGTCATCTTACATATATCAAGGACGTCTCAGAAATCACTGCATAACTTGTTCAGACCTATAGAAACTGATGTCTCGCATAAACCAACAAAATCACTTCACTCACTTGTATCAACCAAAAGACTCGACAGCGAGAGATAAAACCAACATCATCTACAAAATAAATTGCGACGATTGCCCTCTAAGTCTTCGTATGCATGATCACACACTAACTGTAAAAGACATGATATCCTCTCCCTTATATCGTTGCATACAGACAACCACGGACACCAATTCGACTGGAATGGCTTTCAAATATTAGGAAGAGGAAACACCAAGAACGCCAGAGAACTTCTGGAAACCTGGTATTCCAGTGAATCAGTAATTAACAGGCACATTTGCATAGATAAAATTTACCAATTCATGAGAGGAAAACCTAATGCACAAAAAGTCAAACTTTAGGTCAAGGAAACAATCAATTTCAATATAAATAAACTAGAGGGTGTAGAGACAGACAACAGCAACCAGTCATGTTCAAGGTTGCCAGGAGAGATGACTAATACACTCGTGGAGAAATCTCAGAGTTCAATTCAAATTGAAGTAAGCACTGAAGATGTTGCAGCGAGAGCTTCGCAAGTAAACCATCCAGCTTAGAGAACACAAATGCATCAGAGTCATCCACCTAAGCTACAAATCTTCTTTATTATGTGGATTACAATTCACCAAATAAATAATGAATCTCGGAATTTGTGCTATTAAACCAACAAGTGTAAAATTAGGTGGAAAACACTTACTGTTTAGTTCAGTTATTTCTCGTACAGATGTGTGGTATAATGTGAGCAACTCTTGTTTCTGCCAGTTCTCCGTTCGTAAATTACTCGCTAAGCGTTCTCTTTCTTCATTTGCTAAATTGAAACAGTTTTCTAAAAATGCATGTCTATGTTTATTTGTCGATGTATCATGATTATTACTTGTGTCGTTAACATTTTCACCCTCTGAATTTAAAACTCTACAAGTATCTTTGCCTGCTAAATGCCCCGACTGAAGTTTACATGTCGACGAACGTGGTTCATACTGGTGAGAACTGCCATCATCGCTCGACGTCACTACTGTTTTCGAACTGATATTGGTTAAACACTTCCTTGTCAATTGGTCAGAAGGACGCATTTTAGAGGCTAGTGTTAAATTCTCACGATGCTTGACAGCTAATCTAAGTGTATAAAGTTTCGACTCAAGAAGCTGACGCAATTTACAGCAATAATTATTCATAACATTATGAGCATCATTTTGTTGATGTATTGTGTCAGCATTGGTTGCTATCTCATTACTAGAGGATTCTCTGAAACAATTAAAAAAGGAAACGAGAATTAAAACGAATTTCGACTGCATTTTTATATATTTTAATAAATAAAAACATGAACTGCGCTTTTTCCAGAAAAACATACGAAAGTAGAGAAAGCCACTTGTACAAGTATTCAAGAATTTAGAAAAGAAAATCAATGAAAATGAAATAGTATCCTCGATACGATTCATGCCCTTGATTCAATTCGTGCCTAATTAAAATAACAACTGCATATTTTTAATTCATAAGTCGATTCAAATACCATACCGTTAAATGCTCACATATATTTCAAAATATACACAAGATTCACTGATTTACATTAATAGCGTAAAATGGTAGATTTTTTTCAATTCTTTCTAGCATACAAGCAACAAAACTGCCAGGCTTTTTCATCTTAAATACAGAGAAGAATTCTACAAAATTCAACCAATCGGCAATTTACCTGTCTGTCAGCAAACGAGTGAATGCATCTGCACATTCATTGGTTAACTTTTCCTTCTTACCTCACGATCTGACAATAATTTCACTACTACTCACCATATCACTCTACCTAGTGTGAGAGATTGAACAGAGGCACCCATCGTCGAAAACTCCTAATCTCTTCATGTAGATCTTACATCTTCAAAAACCGTGTCTTAAGTCCATAAAGTAGGATGGAACGAACCGCTACACAGTACACACCTCTTGCTTTACATCGGTAGCCCGATATCACACAAACACCAAACATAATGTCAAATGACTCTTTTGTTTATGTGCTCATATTTCGTCTGCATTCAGTTCACTTGCGCTGGTGCAACTCTGAAAACAAGCCTAATGGTCAGCTCAACCATTCCACTCCCTATATTATGTAACTGGGAGCTGGTTCGCACTGCTCCTGCAGAATCCTCTTACATTTGACAAAGGCAAGTTGCATCCCGAAGATATTCAACCAGTTTTGCTCAAACTGTTCACAAGCCTCTGTATTTTATCATCATCTTAGCCTGATGGCTTCTTATCAACGAGAAAACAAAAGTGTAAGGGAGAAATATTACATTTCAACCACTACTATCTCACCATTTTTCAAGAATGAATACCACCTTCTTGTAGAAAATCATACTTTTCGATAAAGTCACCTTCCAATCTAATAAGTTAACTGTCTATAATTAGTGAACAACCAGTCAAAATTATGTTGATAACTATCAGACTACCACAATAAAGTTACAAAAAGTACTCGGTGAATTCAGTTTGCCTCTACACTGCAACTTCATGTGCATTTATTGGAAAAAAGTGACCAAGTCTTGATAGAGAAAATAAACATAAGATCACATCTCACACATATGTTGTATAAATGCATATGCATTCGCAGAAACTCTCACAGGTGAAGTCCTTTTTGAACTGTCGCACCAAACTGCATAACACCATGCCTTAGCGTACAAGTTTTTTTCCCATTATCTTTCGAAATGAGTTCTCGTGAAACCGGTGAGCACTGAAAATTTTGGAGGCTCTTCAAATGAGCAATATCGAGCGAAGGAAAGTGGGCTAATGACGATTCAATGATTGAAATCAAATCTTTAGATTCAAATTTTTATCGAATGCTGGGATTAGCATTATGATAAATTGAACAGGGAGTATATATTAGATGCGAATAAAAATAAGAACAAACGTATACAGACAGATGACAACCCCAAAGAGAGGAATTCAGAACATTCGTAGTGTTATCAAAGAGGGAACCTACGAAAGTTTACATAGGGTTTTTAAAAAGGAGAGAATAAAGGCGGCATCCGAACCAATAAACTCACTCAGGAAAAAACTTTGTTGGTTACAGGATAATGTTCATCCTTTTAGACAGAATAATATAGTAGGTCTTAAAACGACTGAGGTAAAATTCGTAGGTAAAGGTAATATATGATGTGTCATTAAGCAGTATGTTCGTGAAAACCTGTCAAAATCTTGAGTAACGGGGCGATGAATTAAGTTACAAAGAGATGAAGATAACTATGCAGCAATATACAAATCATGAAACGATGACAAAAGAAGCCGAATATGAATGCTTTTTACAAACTGAAAGTACAATTTAAGACTTCTATATTTTGCCATCATCTTATATAGTTTTGTCAAGTAAACAACTCTGCCATTGAATATCACTGTTTCATTGTAATAAGTAGACAAGGGTTCATTAGGTTAGCGTATCACAAAAGCTTGGCCAAATCTAAACTGGTAGACCCTAGTAAGATAAGAAATCTAGAAAAAAAACTAGTCCATTGCACTAAATGCAGTTACGCACAACTATATAATAGAACGGGACGCGTTGACAGTTCTAAAACGTTACGTAATAGAGTGGAGGGAGATTGGAACCGAAACTTTAACAAACCGGGAATACTTGCAATAGGAGTGACTTAACCCCTATTCCTGATATATAGAAAATTCTACTATCCCTACGCCAAATAGGAAAGAAGAGTGAGAACTATGAAAATGGACCTTCGAAGTTGCATAGTTACAATTGATATGATTATGAAGGATAGTTGTGTTTGAAATGTTATAGATATCATAGATCACTGTTATATATGCAATAAACAAGAGAGTTTGGAATTGTGACTTTTATTATAATTTCAAGTAAGTTCACAAAAATTTAGAGATTTGCTAAAAATTTTAAGAAGAGATTGCGTATACGACTGATAGATCCCCAATCACATATGTAATTCATTTATATGCCTTATGGGAGTAACGTCAAAATAAGTACTCCAAAATATAAATAACCTAAGCTATCGACAGCGAATATCTACTTCTGTTGGATTCATCCTAACTTCTTAATATTAAAGTCGGATCCAAAACTGCTGACTTAATGATCTATAGACCATTCTGGAATATAATTAGTGAATGAACATACTGAGACATCTATGACTGATTTATGAACAAACAACTTTGCGAAAAAAGTGTATCGTTTCGGGCTTCCATACTTCAGAAAAGGTTATAGACGTAAAGAAAAGAAAAACTGAAAGTATAAAAGACGAAGATTTACGAGAAAAATACGAACCAAAAAAGATTAATGAAAATTTTTCGAGACTGTAAAATGATAATAACCGGATACATCTACGCCATGTCAATAAGAGTCTCTAACCAATTATTCTTAGCATCTTGAAGACCCCAGACTGATAGTGAACACATTTCTAAGTGGCTCAAAACAGCAGTAGCAGACTTCGTAGATCCGTGCCATGTTTTGGTCTGACCATCTTCTAACTTTAGTTTAGCTTCCAACCATTTGGATCTAGGTTCCCAAACCGCTCCGCCTATCACTTAGAATCAGCAGTCCTCGTGAGTGGCTTGACTACAACTGTATATAAGTGAAATTAGTTCTTGGGTAATAGTTATTGTTATTACATCCATATCATTAGTTTGCAATGTTTCCTGTCGATTATACCGCTGAAAAATCTTTCCTTACTTCTGCGGAAAAGATATTATTCTTCTCAGTTGAAGACACCAGAGTTCTTGCTATAGAACCTGATTCTCCAAGTCGCCAGATGATGACAACTTCAAAACACCACGGAAGTTGTTGATTAGATATGGATTATTCTTAGCTGGTTTATGGAAAATCGCATTAAAGAAACCATAAAATGGATTGATTCTGTGACAGGAAATGAAAAGGAAATATAGGACAAGGAGCCTCGTGATATGGAAGAAACCATATATTGATGGAATATGAGAATGGGATATTTTACTGTCTATATCAGTAAAAATGCTTTTTTATTGTCTCCAGCAGAATTCACCCGATTAAAACACAAATATATGATCTAGCTAACTGCCTTTAGTACTATAATAACTTACAATAATGAAGTAATGATTCGTGTCAGTGTCCAAAGAACTTAGTGTAAATTCCGAAAATAAAATACTTACTGAATAGCAGCAACAGATGTTGGAATACTCTGTTCAGTTGAGCTACTAGATGAAATATTACTATTTGCCTTGGATACATTACACACTGGAGTTACGTTCATTTCAGTGAGCTGAGCTTCAACTAATTGACGTAAACGAATTTCTTCATTTAGACTCTGCTCCATATTGTTTAGATTTGCTCTCTCATTTCGACACCTGTTTGTTAACTTTGAGATACGCGATGAAAAGGCTTCATTTTCTTGCCGTTGGTTAGACAAGCTGAGCCGATTAAGACGATCATCACGTTGTAGATTTTCAAGCTGGTTACGCAGTTGGGTTTCTAATGCACGCATGGACTGTACATCACACCGGAGGCGTCGAACATTATTTTCTAATCTATCAGAAAAACGTTAACAAAAGTTTGCTGTAAGAGTATGGCATTAATGGTAATATGCAGTATTAGGAATCACATTTACGGCGATCATGTAGGAATAAAATACAGTTGTAAATAATTAATAGTACATCAAATATACACCAAAGCAAAAGCTATTACAATAATGACGCAACTTGACTATCCGGTTATCAGTCGTAATAAATGTGTGTGATACTTTCCGACATTAATGTAACTGTAAAATTTACGATTTGCGGTAGAATGTAATTTAATATTAGATAGGCTTATTTCTCAATTCTCCTAAATACCCCGTACTTTTTTGCTGCATCAAAAAAATATTACGGATTTATGCAAGTGATCTGATTTCAAGTATGCTGTTATCTATGCTTACAGGTCATTTTAAAAGTTCGGAACAATCAGGTATTAAACGCCCAGAGAACTTATCTGCACAAAGACAGAAACACCACAATTTACTCAAGATCATTTCTAGGAGAATACTATACTATACTGGTATATTTCATTGAAATGACGAAATATACCCAGTTATTTACTAATGATGGAAAAGCAGACTTGTTTAGCAAGTAAATTTCCTTCCAACGACTTCGTTTCCGCACTTATATTACGTAAATAGGAATGAAAGTGGTTTCAGGAGAAAGAGTAGATAAATCCTACTCAGTTCGCCTGACGAAAGGAGAACAGAAAACGACGAAGTCTCTTATCTGCAAAAATCTTGATCCAGATTATTCAGCCACACGCGATTTCTTTTAAAGTTATCCAGAAGGTTAAATTCAACTGCTGAACAAAAACTTAGAGCGTGTATTCTGAAACGTTTTGTTAAATCACTTTCGCTATCTTGGAACTAATTTTTTTCTTTCAGGTTGACTCTATTCGACTTCACTAGGTCTTCTTTTAAATATTGTTATCAACACCAAAAATTTAATTTTTTCATTATAAACCTTTTGATGTTAATTCACTTCTTTAGTAACCTTCTGTAATTCCCTAATGAATTCACTTCAACCCTACACTTTTAAAAATCATGGTAATCGTTTCTACGTAGGTAGTACAAGCACGATTGTAAAGATAGGAAATGCAGTCACTAGTAAGAAATATTTCTCCGCTGAACATATCGTATTTATTTCTATTTTAAAACCTAAGTTGTCCATTAAACCTGGTCTTCAGTAATTAATATGAAGTTGTGAATTCTCGAAGACACACAAGGGTAAAGCAACAAGTCGGGAAAAGAGGCAGCGAAGAGACTTCGGGTGAACTTAGAGAAGATAGAGGTGATGAAGATGCGTGACAAACGACATGAATCAGTCAATACCAATGGGAGAAATCTAAAGGAAGTCATTTCACCTATGCTGACAGAATCGCTTCAATTACACACGGCACAGGTGGAGATGTCAGAGACGCCCGGGATCAAGGAATTAAGACATCACTTCATTACTTCAACATCATTGTGGAAATGTTTGGTACTTACTACAAAGAACAAGATCAAATTTTAACCCTTATATAAGGCCAGTGATTTTAGTTGGTTTAGAGACTTGACGAGTCACCAAAGGCATTTGCAAGAGGTTGAAGACTTTCACCAAAACCTGTCTTTGGTCAGTGTAAGTGTAGACCTTGGGTACTGTGGCATAATTTAGTTCCAACATTACGAAAGTTTATTTTACATACCACACAGTGATGCAGTATTAACAACTGGATGACGTTTCGAGCATAAATTTTTGCTCATAATCACATCAATTTAGTTACAAAGTTTCACAATTTGTCCTATATATTTTCTCTCTCTCTCTCTCTCCAACTTCCCCTTGGTGTTTGTTGCCATTCTCCATATCTTCGGTACAGGCGTTGAGCCATTCCGATTGCACGTGTGCGGTGTTGAATCGATAAACCAAGCTTCAGTGATTAAACTCTCTCTCCACCTAACTTTATTACATTTTAATACTCTCACCCTGTCCTACCCTATTTTCTGATTACATGCAAGTGAATGCAATTCAATAGCTGGACTTTTCTCTAGGTTATTTAACTTAGTAGGGTCATTTATTCTAGATCTAGCTAATTTTCTATGTTCCAATAAATTTAGCTGACCCCGATCTGCTAGTTTGACCTATGTAATTGTCTTTGGTTAATGCTGATGATCAGATGTCCAGCAGAAAAGAATAAGCAACGAGGAACTCCGGCAGCAAACAAACCAAGAACCTGTTGACCAGGAATTAATCAGAAGAAAGTGGAGATTTATTGGAAACATGTTGAACTGCCCATTGAGTGACATCACGCGCCATCCTGTTAAGTGGAACCTAAAGAGTAAGCGACAATTATTCGCCTGAGGATGACGTGGTGGTGAAGCATATGAAAGCTTGATGGGTACTGGTATGGCCAGCTAGGAGTAGTCACGAGGAATCGAAATGAGTCGCTAAGACTTTTTGCTCCACACGGGACCCAAGGAATGAAAATAATAACAATTCCTTTGCATTTTTCCAATTTTTTCAACCGTATGCATATATATATATATATATATATATATAGACGGCTAATGTTTTCAAAAATTCTCACGTTTATACATTAAGTGTATTGATGAAATGAGTCATGCAGATTTGTAGATTTGATTTCTAATCAAGTATATGGGAGGATGTGATGACCTAATTTATTATTTTAACTATATTTGTTATTCTCATTTATCTCACAACGACTATGCGTACTTCTGTTAATTCTGTATCTGAGGGACATGAAAACATTGTGAGTTTATATACTCTGTCTGAAATTTGATAATCGTGATTACATTAAAATTACTGCTTCAATTCTTCTTGTTCCTGCTTGATTTCGTGTACAGGCTTTAATTACTATCTTTCTGACAAAAGTTGTCCCTATGTAGTCGACAATTATTGTTGCGCGTCGGTAGCACAGCAGCAGAATGCTTGGCAACCACGCATATGGTTCGGGGTTTGACCCCTAGCCGACTACCCCTTTACCTCACTGAGCCGATAATAAGACTGGTAAAGAGGAAAGGTTGGGCATGTGGCTGGCAAACCCACTCCGTAAAACTAAAACAACTGCTACTGAAACTTCAAAGCTCAAGGTTGAAGCCCGATGTTCCGCTAGAAACGTAAAGGAATAAAAAAGGTTTATTGTTAGCGAATCCATGAAGACTTCGTAAGGAGAATAATTAGACAGACTGTGTAATCGTGAAGGAAAACCCAAGTTATTTAAGCCTGTCCTGGTTAAGCCTGAAAACGTCATATGCGCAGAAAATGAATGACAAGCAGAACAGCTACGGATAAACACAACAGTGCTTACCTTGTTACTGGGTCTTCTTTCGTGCCTCGTTCCCTCACCGGCTTCCCACTCGTACACTGTTTAGTAAGACAACCATTAACTGGAGTTTTAGAATGAGAATCAGAAGTCATCGGAGACTCAGCAGCACATCGACGGTTGGCTTGTGACGTAGGTGGACTTGATTCAAGACACTGTGCAATTCGACGTCGACCACTATCGCTGGTACATATATTTGGCATAGCCGCACTTCTTATTGCACAGCTATTGTGAGTACCTCCAGTTCTGCCGCATACGTGACCGGTAGGGTGATTGGAAATACTTTTCAGTGGAGATAATGCAATATGGTTGCATATTTATAAAAGAAATGAACAACCTATATAACATGCTGACATTAAGTGGACATATAATGTGCACTCGTAAAAGACTTATAAACCAGATTTCAGAGAATTGTTATGATTGATATATAAAGTCAACACATGTATATCATTACGTCATTTCTTCTTTAAAGAAGCTTAATAAGTTCATTAGTTCGAAATTTTAGAGACTGCATCAATGTAAGAGCTGTAATTCAAAAACAGTATACCGACTTGTGCAATGAGCTGCACACGATACCTTCAATTTTACGACTAAAATGTGTACTTTTTTAATCCAATTTCTGTGAATGTAGACACGTAATACTTTTACGTCTTACGACAACTTGAGTCGTAAATATATAAACAGATGCATGTCAGGCCAATTTAATTAGCTCTTGAAGAGGACGAGGGTGTGTCGGTGGTACAGTGGTAAGAACTCACACCGACCATGCACATGGTCCGAGGTTCGATCCCCTGCCGATGCACACCCGATATCTATGGTCAGCCTGCAAAATTTGGGCTACCGATATCGCATGCTGAAAACTCCATACCTGTACCAAAAAATACGGTGTGGAATCAAGCTGTCACCAAAAATTTTAAAAAAATATGCTTAAATTCAAAACATAATAATGTGTCACGGTTAAATATGTACGATGTCACAAAATTTGCATTGTCCTTTCGATACATCCTGTACAGAATGACAACTAATCAAATACTTCTAAGACCCTCCTACTCACTTGTTATTTGCATATATGCAGCTGACTACCTTCAACCATACATTTGTCCGTACACGTGCACGTTTGAGACTGAATGAGAGCAGTAACACACAGCTTCGGAGCTGTTTTCTGTCCAATTTACTTATGATAACATGAAGCTTGTTTTAAGGAAGGAGATAACTAGACACTTACGAGTATTCATGAATAATCCGCATACAGACACTAACGATAACAAAACAGTTCAGCGAAGAGGTTTTCTTCGGCGATTCCCTTTAGCAGTAAAATAGCATCTACATAGAATTTTTATCATGCAACGGGGCAGTAAAAAAAGTGATGAGTTCTCTTAATCACAGTTAATATTATTGGTCCCACGGGAGATAGAAAACAGGCACTTATGACAAAAGACAGCTAGCCTTTTCATTTCTTCCACTTCCAATGGCCATATCTTACAGCCATAAAGGAGAAGGGAGGGGACTTCTGAGCATTACACACGCCCCTTAGTCTACAGCCAGTCGGATATCACGTCTACGCCAGAAAATTACTAGTCAATAAATAAGAACTGAGTAAGTGTATTAGAGTTACGTGATAAGATGAGTAATTTAACGCATGAATTGTTAACAGAGTGCACATAGAAACGAAGGAAAATATAAGGTTGCACAAGAGTCCTATAGTAATACAAGAGTTATAAGAGGTTGACTATGGCCTCTTCCGTAGTGCTTAGCCACAGGTTAGCTTTAACCACGAAGGAAAACACAATAACCGCTTCAAATTTCTCGGCGTGAAGCAAGGGTTCGATTCCTTTGATTCTGCTGGTTTACATAAGTATCTGCCGACCAAAAAAGTAAGACAACCTTCGAGATGTTTCTCTGCTGAAATGTCTGTGGTGGTGTTAGAGCCAGCTGTAAACTAATTCATGCAGCTAACTAAAGGATATTTATCTTTGAATTTTATTCAACTTCATTGTGATCATCTATCCTCCCAAGTTTGTTTCTATGGGAACCGATATTCCTGTAGGTTCCTTAGTTAACTGAAATTATTATGACAAAAACATTGGAGATACCAATTCCTCTAAAAACTGAGCAACTTGACATCCGGAATGTATTTCTTACTTACATTTTTCACTTGATCATTCCTACCTCCAGTCCACTAGTCCTTTTTTCAGCTGACATTGGTGATTAGTGGAGGTATACTGGACATGTTCTAGGTATCTCCACGGAGCTTCACAACCGCGCTGATTGCCGTGCCACGTACAAATAACCACCAATCAATTCAATGCATAATGTCTGCTGGAATATGACATCGGAGTGACAACCGAAAACTATATATATATAGGCAGAATAACTTAGAACTTTATACAAATATTAACACGATATTGAGACCAGATAGCATCAATTGCAATGAGCAACGATGATCTTATATTTGCCACTAGAATTTGAATGCATTCATTTGTTCACAAAATTAAATCAGTACTCAAGAAGACAATAATGCAGTGCACAGCACGCAACGATCTATGTTGATTTATAGCAGTTTATCAATTCACACTGAAAGCCCGGTGTCGGGTAGATTTTAAAATGGTAGGATGACAATAAAATGAATGACATACCTGTCATAATCTGAGTGGTGTTTGTCAACGGTGCCAAAGTGCCCGAAAGCCCAACGACCTAAACAACTGAGACATGACTGACCAAAACGGAGAAACATAACTACTGACCGACTGGAGGCATCGGATGAAAACTAGCGAAAGACAAAAAGATAAAAAGTTGATATATATATCAAATTTTCAATGAAAAGTAGAGTATGGGTTGAAAACGGATAAATGGCAATACGGTTTAAATCCATCTGCGCCTTCCAAGAAAAACTAAAAAATGTCTCCTAACTTCGATTTCGTTTTTATCGCATATTTCAACCTGAGGATTTACGACTGTTTACTTAAAAAGGATGCCTCACTGATTTTGATTAAATATTGAAATAATTAATTCCAGTTTGTCTCAAACTTATCCTAAACATCTTATAAAAGAGTGAAATCAAGCCAAACACACTTCTGCAGCTTAACCAGTTTTGTTGCAACAGTTTAGTAATCCTTCCGCCTAACTTACTTTACCCAATCAAAGCAGGTTTGTAAACATATTCACCACAAAGACCATTGTAGGAGCACATGAAAACAAATAAGCTTTTAGAATCATGACTGACTGGTTTGAACGTAGAACTTTGCACCTATGTGCAGCAGTTCAAGGGAAGAGAGTAGAGAGATTTAAAACAGAGATAAACAGAAATATGAGGCAAAAAGAATAGTAATATGGAGGAGCCATATAGAAGAAGGGAGAGGACTTCTGAGCATTACACACGCCCCTTAGTCTACAGCTAGTCGGATATCACGTCTACGCCAGAGACGGCGAAAACTGGCATATGCAAAACTAACCTTCTGTATCCGTGCTGAGATTTCGTCAGCGATCAACCCGTAGGTGCTGATGCAACTTCGCAAATAAGTGAAATGGTCGACGCACTGTACCACTTCACTTGGTATTTCGCAGCCAGGGGTTAGTGTATTCCAGTCCTGTAGCATCATCTTACATTCTGTAGGGGAGAATCGCATGCCAAACATTCGCAGATTGCATTTCGTCAACACCGCTAGCTGTCACCTTTTCAAAAGACAACTCGCCGTAAGCTCTTACCTGGCTGCCTTGAACAGTGCAATGTACTTTCTCGGCATTCCCTTCACGGCCAAACATCACCATAGTACCTCTCGGTCGACAGAATCGGATGCCGCCTTTTAGATCAAGAAATATGACGATTGTTGGAAGCCGCGGAGTATGCCTATGTTCCAGGGCCATGATTTGATCAATATACCCTCTTCCTGGTTTTCTCGTGTTTGTGCCTCCCGAGAACCGCTTAGTCGACGAATTATTATTGAGCCTAGAACTTTAGATACCATATTAGTCAAGCTAATCCCTATGTGATTATCGCAGGAGGACTTGTACCCCTTCTTGTATATCGGGATAATCAATCACACAGCTACCTGACGGGACTTCCTCTGATTCTCAGACGCTGCCTAAGACCTTAGTTAACACAGACAGCAAACTGTCTCTTCCATTCTTAAACACCTCTGGAGTCATTCCATCGGGTCCCGCAGCTTTACCTCGTTTCAGAGTAGTGATAGCTTCAGTAACCTCAGTTAGGGACCGAGGACCTATGTCTATATCCCATTCAGGGAAGTGTTGGATGTTCGGTAAGTTGAACGTGGCTGTATGTAGGCCAATTGAATCGCTCCTCAAAGTGTTCTTTCCAGTGTTCAGTCGTCTATCCTGGGAGCTATAGTGTCCTTTTTCTCAGATTGTTTCACTTATGGTTTACCTTTTACCACCTGTTTCCCTGATAAGCCTAAATAGTTTTCTGGTATTACCAATCGCCGATGCCTTTTTTATCTCGTTCGCTTTTGTCGCCTACCACTGTTCACGGTCGTCACGAAGCCTTCTTGTTGGTTCGCATTTCAGCAGCTTTCGCTCTTCATCATATTCGGAGCTCGCCGGAATAAGTCTTCTTGCGTCAATCAGTTCGGGTGAAGTGGCAACTACGGTTGGTTGCTTCACTTTTAAATACTTCCTAGGGTTGGAACTACTTGTCATATGACTCAAAATCGTTCTCAGTGGCGCAGATGTTTTCACTCCTTAAGATCCCTTATTCACATTAGCCCTCATGTGTCATATTACAACTATTTCGTTCTCCCTCACACTTCTGTGTTAAGTTCGATGTTGAAACTCAGTCAGTCACGATACCTTATGCTTATGACTGAATAGTGAACGTTTTGCATGTGTGCGGATGCCAAACAAACTTTTTGAAGTTTTCTATGTTCCTCCATAGCTGTCTGATGAGCGTCTTTGAAACATGCATGCATCAACTCTTTCTGATATGATTTCTTGAATAGCTGTAGCCAGCATGTAGGTATTGCACAACACTGACGACGCTTTATTAGTTCTACATTTTCTGAATATTCATTTACCAAAATAATTCGATAAGCCCCGGAGATTGAGTCGCATGAGATAACAGAACAACAATACAAAATAGAAAAGTAAAAGTTCGGAAATAATATAATGGAACAGGTAATCATAATTATCAGGGATATTCGAGTGTCCATTTAATAATAATTTCTACACCATGACATATTAGACAATGACTTTAATTATGAATAACTGGGCCGTATAATTTTACTGAAACTGCTAAAGGAGTAGTGATGAACAAACATGATAACCGTTCATTCAACGGTGCCATGCAATGAACTGACCACTTAGACTTCACCGGCGAGTCCCACCAATAACGGATAGTGAGATGTGTAGAAACCTCTGTAATGGGTTTGTCCGAAGATGAGAAACGTACTGACATGTAAATTGCTGACACAAATTCGACACAAATTTATGAATTAGTAAGTGAAACCTATACATGAAGTCAAATTATAACAGGTGCAGTTAGGGATCAGAGAAACTCACATCTTCAGATATCTTTCCTCCATCGACTTCAAGCAGTTCTTTTTGTAAATAATCCAGACAGTTTTGAACGCCTGTAGTAAGTGCACTAGAAATTAAGAGACTTACAACAGCTCTCAGTTATAGCAGAGGGTGGGAGGGCCTCGTGAAGAATTCGGAAATGCAGAAAGTTCTGTCGCCTGACGTCAATCCTTTTAAACTGGTAATTTAAAATAAATTTTCAATATACTTACATTGCGGTACCTTACGTCCAGGTACCGTTTAATGGAAAACCCCGTACAAACTACCGAGTAACCAATGCTAATTATACTGAATTAAGACAATTAGAAGTAGTACCTATGTGCTGCGAATGGGCGGAAAAGGTAAATGCTTTGGTTAGACTTAATATCTTTTGGGTAGAAATGAAGCTCAAAGTACACAAAAACGAAGCACAAAGATAATGTAAGGAAGCATAATCCTTGATCTAAAGAAACAATGGACATTTCAAAACCACACTAACCTGTGTGCCACAAGAGATAAACCCAGACATATGCGCTACCACAAATATAAACCCATGTTGCAGGAACCACAAAGAAGCAGACAAGGTCTACGGTTAACACAATTATGATAAAAACAATTGTGTATTGCTATAAATGCATTGTGTAAATAATCATAACGTTTACCATTCCTTGGAATTTCATAGAGTCATGTATTGAGCATATGAAAAGCCATCCAGGCCAAAAGTACTCAAATCTCATATCTGTTGACCGATTTATGAACAACAACAACCCCCATATTAGGAATATTAAGAGGTATTGCACGTAACTGTGATGAAAGCAGGTTAAGAATATATAAATATTTACGGGGAGGAGAATAAATCACATATTCTATTCCTTTTAGAAGAACGTTTCAGTCTGCTTAAGTCTAAATTCTTACGACGGGTGGGCATAGCCACTAATAACCCACATGAGACATAAGGAAATCCAATTGGCTTAGTTGGATCACCCGCTGAACGGACGGTTCATATGGCGAACTGTGTTCTAAGCATACTTTTGTGTTTCACTAGTGAAAGACGCAAATATTTCCTTTTGAAATTTCATATGACATTGTGTAACACAATTTGTTTTGGAGTATTAAAGACAAAGTTCAACAATAGAGTCCCAGAAGTGTGAACGCTCCAACGACCTTGAACGCATGCTAGTCGTTGTCTAACAGCACCTGTTATTATCGTAGTTGAAATATCAACGCTATTCACCAACTTAGGAGCAAATTTCACCCAGATCACGTTTTTAACTACTGTTTGAACAATGTTTTAATAGCTCGTAAGGGTTAGGATTAGGGTTATTATAAGCATTTGCGTTTGAATAAGGGTTAGGAGTAAGGTTAGGTTTAGTGTCAGGGTGAGGATTAAGCTTATGGTTACGATTAGGGATAGATTGAAAGTTGATGTTATTTATTTTTATGTTTTATCTGTAGTCATCTCGGTGAATATATGTACAAAAACTAGTCTAACTTAGCAACTGATAACAACTAGGACGTATTTTTAAGCCATTTCAGGGAAAGATAAACTGTTTAATGCGTATCCAACTGAATCCATTGGAAACCTCACAGTGAACTCTTAAAAGATCAAACTAATTTCTTTGGACTCTCTTCTAGGTACTGACGTGACTATTCTTGACCTATAAGTGGCTTCAGATTGGTTAGTGCCACCATTTGCCATATTTTTGACAGATCCTGAAGGGAGTGGTTTGGGAGATAGGTTACATTTGGTTTGAAGTATGAGATATTGAAACCACAACACTGTTTTTATCCACGTTAGTTACTCTTTGTGTTCGAAAGGACATATACTAATAGCCATATAGACAACAACAATTGCAGTAGTAGTACTGAGACGGTAGATGAAAGACTTGGTAAAGGAATATTTGTTTAGAATTTGGTATTTCTATATAGCCAAATTATGTACACTTCATCTTCAAATCACTATTTGCACAGATCTTCCATGTTGTGCTGCTTCTCCCCTTCATATTGTGTTCCTTTCACATCTCCCATTTATATCCACAACGCCGTATCATTTACTTTCTCTGACGTCAAACGTATCTCCCTTCTATTTGTTATTTTGTGCTCATGAAAGTCCGTTTATATACTATTGATAAATCTTATCGGAAGCAAATGCCACAGTACTAGTAGTAGTATTAGTAATAATATAAGGAATTAAATATATGTAAATGTGAAAAACGAATAAGTAATTCAGAATGAAAATACCAAATGGATGAATCAGGTAAGTTTTTAGGAGGGTGAGACATGGAAATTTGTTGGCGCTCCAGGGACGATTTTAGTTTCAAACTCATCAATAGTGCTTAGTATGAGGTACTCATGTCGTTTCGGTTGAGTGAATAGCATTTTAGTTCCCGTCCATGGACTGATATAAAGCTGCCAAACCTTCGCCCTATGCGGAGGCGCATTCTAGAAGCTAAATGTCTTGTTCCGAAGGCCCATAATTCCCTCATTGCCCTGTTCTGAAGTTCCTGCTCAACTGACAGCGGAGTGACAATATCGCGCAACGTATGGGGCGGTCGTACGTAGGTCTAACAGAACCTTCGAAAACCACTGGTCTGAAATACGTTTGCAAAAATTACGTAGCTGAAAGCATTCTGGCCACGTTACTCAACTAATTCTAGCGTGCACCCAGTCTTTCCTTTAAAATAGGACCGAAATCGCGCTCTGAAACTGTAAAGAATCATCTTATCTCCCTTAGGATATACATTAACTGTTGCGGTGTCGGTTGGCATGATTTGATCAATTCGAATTTCAATGAGCTTGAGGGATATTTTGTCAATTTTCGAATCTTCTAGATGTTCAGGGTTGGCGTGAAACCCGTGTAAATCTTCCAAATCTTGCTTCGCCTTTCAAAGGTTTGCCAGATGAGTTACAAAGTTCAGATAGCGTGTCAGAACACTGATGTACAGCACAGTAAATTGAGAGCCTTAGAGCAGATACTTGCTAGACATCTGGAGCTCAGCTGTGCCTGGGAAGGGGCGACTTCGGCACGGAATTGCCAATGGTGGTTTACCAACCATGAAAGGAGCAAACCAACAATACTGGTTTGGTCTATTCAATCAAGGAATATGGCAGATGCATTAGCAAAGTAGAGGATGGCCACACCAGCTGGGACATTCATATGCCACCATGATACTAAATCATTCCTTGATAACAGCTTTCTTGCTATACAAGACCTGCATCTCATTAAAATCTATTCTTCTTCATGGAGAGTAATGTTTGATTCAAAATGAATAATGATATGGTGGTCTCGTGAGACCCCAATATTTCCGAAACAACCGGGAAGTAAGGCCGTAGCGTGTACTATTGACAGCCTTTATCAGCAGTGTATCGATTCAAATTGCTAGGAAGTAGCCAAAATTGAAAACTTTTCAATTCAGTGGCTACTAGGCAGAAGCGTTCATCTCTCGAATCTGGATCCAGCTTGAATGCATTCCAAGGGCATACCGCAATAAGTTAAGGAAGTTGATGAAACAGCACTATTCCACTAAGGATGTACCGCTACTACACTCAATCCACGAGTCACCTGAATGTATGAAGCACCTACGCTCTCAAAAGGACCTCGACGAATAGTTAGGTGCACCTAGAAGTACCTCCAAAGTGCATAACCTAACAACACTTCTTAAAAAACGAATGCGGTTGACGAAGGATATCCCCTACTTACTTCACGACAAAGTGATCTAAGGTTAGCCTGTAGCCATCTGTGAACATTTCAGTGAATGGTTTGCGAACTTTAGTTTAGAAACGCGCATCCCTGGTAAAACCGCCCTCCTTACTAGCTCTTCCCTCGGAAGCATAGTGTTCACCAATCAGTTGATATAACAAGTATTAAAAGCCGTAGACCTCCTACTAGCAAGGGACCTTGTTGGGGGGCCTTGCTTCAATAATCTTCAAAAACAGTGGGTGTGATATTCCCCTATTACTTCTTAAATTCTCAATATCTATTGCCACTGGCAATTAGCCTGATGAGTGGGAAACTGGCTTCATAATTGCACACTATAAATCCGGAGATAAGGCAAACGTCCGAAATTACAGACTTATAAATATAACCCCAGTTGCCTCGCGAATCATGAAGAGAGTTGTCAAAGATCAATTGTCAGACTATCTACTTAGGGAAGATCTTGTTACAATGTCTCAACACGGATTTCTCAAAAATAGGTCTTGAGTTACTTGCCACTTCGACCTTTTGAAGAGCATCACCAGTAGTCGCGAAGCACGTGAGCTAGTCGCTGTTCTCTACTTTTATGTATCTAGGCCATTTGACATGGCATCTCACAGTATTCTCTTTGAGAAGCTGTACTCATGTGGAATTTGCAAACCATAACTGAACTGGTTAAAGTCATCTCTAAGCAACAGGATACAAATAACCTAAGTCGAATCTGTATTGTCTCATCCTAAGCAGATCACAAGTGGGGTTGTGCAAGGTAGTGTCCTAGGACCGCTTTTATTCACAGTCTACATTAACAGCATTTGCAACTGCTTCGCCTCAGGTAGACCATTCCTAGATGCTGACGACCTCAAAGTCGTTTACTCCTGCTACAGTCATGAATTAAACCACATGGTAAGTAAAATACGTCTTGAATTAAGTGGTCTCGGAACATGGTGTGCTGAATCCTGTCTAAAGTTTAACACTGACAAATGCGGCTAGATTTGAATCGGCAACAGTAATCTTGACATAACTCTTGAAGTTAATGGGCAAAAACTAGACAATCTCAACTCAGTCATAGATCTCGGCATCAAACTCAACGTTCCCTGAACAAATTGATTATGCCAGACGTAAAACACGAAGGCTCCTAGGATGCATAACTCAGAATTTCTTTTGTTGTGAAACTATGGTTTCATTACACAAAGTATGTATCCGACCTATTTTGAGATACTGCCCGTTTATGCTTAGAGGACTGCGATAGAATGATAAGCTTAAATTAGAGGGAGTGCAACGGCAATTTACCTCAAGAACTCTTGGTTTAGAATGTAGTCTCAAATACTCTGAAGGTTGCAATAGACTGAGATTAGAACCACTCTGGAAAGGACGTCCTAAGCCAAATCTTGTTTTCTACTACAAGCTAACTAATCTCCTCTTGCACTCCTCCGAACCAATAACTAGATCTACTGCCATCATCAGTTACAATCTCAGAAATCATGACAACCTAGTTGCTATAGAGCATTGTCAGACTTACATGCTGTACAACTTCTTAAATAAGTTTTCAGTCATTTGGAATAGACTACCAGCTGATGTGCGTGATGCAGACACACTCGCAGTGTTCATCTCCCCAGTCACCAGACTGCCCAAAGATGACAATGCACTCCTGCGTCTGAAATCTACACTCTCTTTTTCGCCCTACATAGATATTTTAAGTTCATTAAAGGTACAAGTTACATCAAACTACGTTTAAATATCAATATTATTGGAAGTACATGATAAACACTTCTTCACAGGACAATAATATTAGCTCATACGTAATATAAAAGTTAGCATGACGGGACTAGTTAGTTAGTGTACCAATGTAATCATAGTTACTACACAGAATATATTTATACGTATATAAATTTATTGATTACTCCTTGAGGACTCCACTTGCTTTCCCTTGCGTTGCTGTCGTTTGTCTTCTTTTTTCTCATCATTTTAGCTTCTATATGACTTTTTGAATGAGAATAAAGAATGTAGATACTTGACCACTTACAATGGCAAATGATCTGCAAACATTACTCATCCCATATCCTAAAACTGCCTCGTGAATTACCCATTACCTTCCCCATGAACCATCCTGAATTACAATTGAGGAATATGCCTTTGTACCAATGAAAAAGTATTAATTTTTAATACTTTGCGATTGTAATCTATAAATAACTGATTGTGCCAGTAAAAATGGCTTGCATGTCTTGTAAACACCCGTCTAAAAGAACATATAAACTATCATTATTAGTCTGCATTGAGTACAATTCACTTCTGCTGTTACTTACAATGAAAATACTGACAAAGTTATACCAATACATCACTTGTTTTAAATTAATACCCAATTTGGACACAAATCCAGAGTAATATTCGATGCTGCCCACACCATAGTTTTATAAGGGAAATAACTTCAGATTGTTCCCACAAACTAAAGACAAAAAGGAGGCGAACAAAGTAATTTCACCACCAACCAAATTTATGTAGTTTAAATAATACTTATCCATGCCTGTACAATTGGTGTGTCCCACATAGGTAGGAATGCACAAGTATTTTATTATATTTTTATCATTATTAAATATGCTTACTAATCGTATATGTAATTTATCATGTTGATGATGCCTGTTAAATAGCGTCCCTCATATACAAAAATTGAGAACGTAGTATTATCAGCCCTCGTTTAGGTCCGGTAAATAGAAGCCAACTGAAGCATACCTATAGTAAGATATCCTATGTAGTAAATACAATGCTTGTGAAAACAGGTCGTCATTATCTTCTCATTGCGTTGATATGTGCGTATATATTAGAGAAAAGTTGACGTTGTCGTATTAGTTTACGAAAATATTCTCACTAAGCGCCGATACTTCTGCTTAGTACGGAGTGCTACTCATGGTCTATGAAATACTTTCTCGTGCATTCGCAAATAACTACTATCATATGAAGTAGCGATATAGGAGTCGTGTGAAATTTAGGTGTTAAGGCGTATTCGTACTTGGTAAAGGTTTATTGAAAGCCTCACTGAAGACTGAACGTGGCGATGATAATGTGTTTGAATCGGCACAATTCAATTTGTGGTGTTACTTGTTGCAAGCATGGTAAGGTGTGTGGAGTTTGTTGACTAACACTATGTAGGCTCCTGTCTCTGTTAAGGATATAGATGGTCATGTGTACATCAAAGCGCTGGCCCAGTTCCTGAAGAAGTGAGTCTGCATGTGTTTTCTTATCAGCCCTCGTTTAGAACCGGCAAAGTGAAACTACCTGATTGGACTGACGTCGTGAAGCTTTCTACAGCCAACCAGTTAGCCCCGTATGATCCCGACTGGTTCTATGTTCGTTGTGCTGCTGTTCTCCGCCATCTTTGCATCAGACCGATTGATATATATATTATATATATATTTGAGTGAGTGCTGTGCCCCCAAGTTATTAAATGCTATTTCAGGAGGAGAAGATCGTCCTGGGCAGCTGCAAAATGGTATAAAATGCAATAAGGGATAAAATATCATTGGATGTAAATTGACAAGATGAATACACTAAGTAGATAGAGAGTGCTTGTAATGATAGTACACATTTGCGATG